GCAGACCAGCCTGTGACAACTCCTGGGGTGGCAATGCATCGAGCACTCCATCTGGTAGAGCTTTCTGATGAGTTCGACGATGATGAAGGCATGTGTTGCGCGACTCCGAGGTGGAAGAGTCGCCTGGATCGGATGACGGTGAACATGTACATGCCGTTCTGATGTCCAAGGTGGACGGCGCGGTGGCACAAGGCATGGATGAGACCGCCGTGGATGAGCTCCGAAACCTCTTGGTTGAGTTCCAAGATGTGTTTCGGTTGAAGTTTGGTCGAGACCCGCCGGTGAAGGTGGCGCCGCTGAAGGTGCACCTGAAGCCTGGTGCGGTTCCCGTGAAGTCTGGACTCCGCCGGTACCCTCCTACGCACCTGACATTCCAGGAGAAGCATGTGCGGGAGTTGGAATCGGCTGGTCTCGTGTATCGGAACACAAGGTCCCGATGGGCCGCCTTGGCCCATGCCTAACCTGGAAACGACGATGGGTGTGCTGAAGGACTCCAGAGTGTACTTCACGCTGGACTGGATGAAGGATTACTGGCAACTGCAGCTACATCCTGACTCCCAGGAGTACTACGCGTTCATGACTCCGATCGGTGCGGTGACTCCCACGCGAGTACTGATGGGTCAGTCTGATGCCGTGGCCTACTGCCAGGGTGTTGTAGACGAATTATTTGGGGACCTGCTGATGCACGGTGTCTTGGGTTGGTTAGTTCTCGGCTTGGCCTCGATGTCGACTGCACGTGCGAATGTGTGTGCAGTCGACTATGTGTGGAATGTGTGTGCAGCCGAGCAATGGTCCTGGTTTGCCAGGATGACAGGATTATGTTCCAGGGTCCTAGCGTCCGGATGCTGTACTGCATTTAGTGTGTAGTGAGGGGACGTCACTACTGACTGCGAAATGAGGGAGGTAGCTTGGTAATGAAGTCACTTTTGGATTTGTCATCGAGGTCGCTGTTGTGAACACGGCAAGCCGTCGGTTACGAGAACCGTCGCAAGACAACAAAGACTTCTTTAGTTGTCTTGGGACACGCTAGCGAGTGTGAGCATGGAGTTTACTACGATGGCTGCGCTGGAACGCGATCCCGATCGGGACGATCAGCGAGCCCTGCGGCCCGTGCACCGAGCATGGACCTTGCTGAAGACCACGGAAGGACGCGAAGCCAGACGCGGCGCGTCGGCTATTTCGGTCTCCCGAACATCGTCGCCAACCGGTGGCGGTCATTGAGGCGTGGCCGTATGCCCGTGCGACGTTTACGCCTTGTGTCTGGCCAGACGACTGGGACGAGCCCGGAAGCGACGGCAGACGAACCGAATGACGTGGATATGGGCCAGGATGATGTCGTTGTGCGTAACGCGCCTGCCCTACCGAAAAACCCGACGTTCAAGGGATCCACGAAAGAAGAACGTCGAGCGTTTATGGCCGCGTACAACCTGTACATCAGCCAGACGAACGCTTTGACTGCGAATGGTGTTCGGCCATAAACGCTCGACGTTCTTCTTTCGTGGGTCCCTTGAAAGAAGAACGTCGAGCGTTTATGGCCGCGTACAACCTGTACATCAGCCAGACGAACGCTTTGACTGCGAATGGTGTTCGGCCCTAGTGGCGCTCCTCTTGCCCGATTTCAATGAAGCAAAAGGCTCT